GGTTGCGGAGGCAAAAACTCGGGTCTGGGGAGAGTTCAGTGAGGCCATGGAGAAGGACTATCGGTCGGCCTCGAAGAGATTCTGGCAAACCTTCCGGTGCCTCAGGAGGGGGAAGCAGTGCCCTGCCAAAACTGTTTACAGTGGAGGTGGGCAGCTGTTGACCTCAACTGGGGACAGTACAAATACTATACCATATGACTAAGCGGATCTCCTCAATCCCGGCGCCATGTTTTCCGATGAGGAAGCAGAGGCTGAGGGCTCAGAGGTGGACCAAGCTAAAGTCACTGAGGTAGTCAAGAAGCTTCTCGGTGGCAAGGCACCGGGGGAGTACTTCATCTGTCATAACAATTATATAGGCTGTACAGAAAGCCCATGCAGATGAGTAGAAACATTTAAAAGGACAACACAGTAAGGAAGCATTACTTTAGTGTCCATATAATTGGTTAACATTAGTGGAGTAACTTCCCATCACACAGTCATTTCAACAGGATAATCTTTCCGGAAGCCAGAAAATGTCATGTAACAAGAGCCAGCTGGGACGGCTGCAACCCTCCCCCCCTATCACAGCAAGAACAGTAAAACTCCAGATGTTTTTAACAGTAGCCCACTAAACTTTAAATTCATACTACAGGCTAGTACCATAAAACAGATCACTTTCACACCCACAAGACCGACGGACAGTTTCTGTTTCAGCCGAACAAATCCGAAATAAACGGGGGAAACGCCACAGAGTTTGGCTAAACTAAACCAGAGAATTAAATGTAACTTTACGGACGACTACGCTAGTATAACGGAGACACTTATCTCCGTTTTAAATCACCTGTATAAAGCAAAGCACGCGGCGTTCAGGTGTCTCACATACCTGACAGCAGAGTGACAATCAGGAAAAGACAACCATGCGTGGGGAAACCGCCAAAAACGGATCTTTTAGCCCGAGCGGTTAACATACTGTGAAGAAAAGCAATAAACAGACCGACTAAAGGTTTGAAAATCGGTTCCACAATCTCACTTACTGACTCAAACTGTTCGCCAGTAAAAGGCTTCGATAGCCGGCCCAGCGTCAGGTGACAACGCATGATGCGTTCAAGACAACTGGGAAAAACAAGGTTTGATCTATCTATATCCAAGTACAGGCTACCAATAAAGAAAACATAAATAAAACATCTGCAAGTGTGGAGGCTGAATTTTCTAAAGAAGATAGCAAACGTGTCTTACTCGCTCCGTGCACATGTCTCTTCCTCTTCCAGCGTCATATTCACTTCAGCAAGCCACATAACAGTCCACTTCCACAACGATTGCAAGAATGATATCTTGGTTTAATTTAGCGGCTCAAAAAACGAACACAGCAAATTCCACAAGTCATAACATAATTAAACGTGAATACATGTTACGGACGTGCGGTAAGAAAACCGCGAACTTCCAAAACCTTTCAGAATCTTTTCCAACACAAACTCAGCCGTGAAGTAGCATGGCTCAGGGGCGTTTTAGTTCAGGGGCCGCATACAGCCTAACGTGATGTCAAGTGGGCCAGACCATTAAAATCATAGCATAGCTCATCATCATAGCTCATCATCATAGCTCATCATAGCTATAAATAATAAATTCATGTTTTCCTCTTTGTTTTAGTGGAAAGAAGTACAATCACATTAGGATATTTTTTTATTTAATGAACTATCCTTTTACAAAACATGTTATGAAAAACGTCAGATTTCTCAAGAAAAACGTGCAATTTGCTTCAGTTTATCATTTACATGTGAGCATTACAACTGATCACAGTGACTGTACAAAGGCACAAAACTTTAAGTCACTGGTATATGGAACTAAACGATATGGTAGCCTATTGTGCTTTAGGATTAAATCAACTTATCAAGATATAGGAATTATTTTTACTCCATTTTCCACATGCGTAATAATTCTCAAAACTTAAATTGACTCCCCACCTCTTACAAACCAAAGTGGTGGCTATTTAAAATGTATAAGAAAGAAAGTAATCACGTGGACTGTAAATATAAGATTTATACATGAAACATACAAAAAAATGCATATAACATAATATTTATGACAAACTCTTTTGTAGTGAAGCTGGTGACTAACATTAAATTGCACAATTTTTAACTATTATTACAGCAAGGATTCATTTTCACAGGTTGGTTGAAAAAAGGAATTCACACACCATGTTTCTTCATATACAACACGTGATCCAGGAGTCTGACTTTGGATTCTAACACGCTGTTACTGTGACAAAACCAAGTGAATTACATAGTCACCTACAAACTAATTCACCAAAGCAAAAACCCTGATAACATTGGTCCTTGTTGTTTATGACAAAGGCAACAGTGGTGGTTCTAGTCCATTTAGGGACCAGACTGGGACCAGTGCTGACGACTCTTCATCAGATGAAGATGAGTGTTTGTGCCTTGTTTGCATGGTGCCTTTGACTGCTCATCTAGCGCTCCAGTCGCCCGTGACCAGCTGAAACGTCCACACTACATCTTTCTGTTACCACCACTGATTAAAAATCGGTTTGATCTAGAGTCTGTGTCCAAGTCCTGCATTTACTGGGTCAGTTATTCCTGACGGCTAGCCGTAACACTTTCACATAATGTGCCAAAAAGAGTATAAAATCAGTGGGTTTAGCGACTTCGGGGACATGACGATGTGTTCTTGAAATGCGCCTCATCCATATTTTACACACCAGTTCTCACCAAGTGACATGAGCCAAAGCGCAGACGAATTCTTTTGGTTTAAAGCAAATTCAGCAGCAAACCTCATAAACCTCTGCACATTTATGAAGCTATAGCCTGTTTTGATATTTGTAATTACAGTAAAATGTTATTCCTTAAAATTCCGTGTTGGATTTTTAGCTGGCCACTGTGTGTGTGCGTGTGTGTGTGTGTGTGTGTGTGTGTGTGTGTGTGTGTATGACTAACTGTTTGTGAGGAGCGGAACTACCACATGCGCTCCAATAATAGTGGGCGGGGTAAGAGAGACAGGGGCTCCTCCTACAGTATAGGACTGTGACTGGTTTGAAGCAGTGCCACACACTCCGTTCATTCATTTACTGCCAGGAGTAGTAGTCATACTGTAGTTATCTAGTTCTTTACGCAGACAATGGCGCCTTTTAAATCGATCTTTGCATTCATTCTACTTACTGCCAACCATATTTCTGGACATTGTATCGAGGTGCTTCTGGGAGACCCTGTTAGATTTCCAGTAACTGATAATTGTACTAAAAACGGATGCAAACTGATTCACAGTCGGAAGGATACCAGCACTGTGGACGTCGCTTCCTGTCAGGATGGTGTTTGGAGTCCGGAGCCGGGTTACAAGAACAGGATGAGTCCAGGCAGTTATGTGAAGTTGAACGCCACAAACATGAACGACAACGGAATGTACGAGTCCTCCTGCCCTGGTGAAGACATCCGGTTGACCCAGTTGGATGTTGTACCTTTTGGTTCACTGACAGCTCCTGAGGGGGGAACAAGCAAAGTGCAGTGTTACTACGTTACTGCAGGTGAACGTGTGGAGACTATACAGTGGATAAAAAACAGAGAGCTGGTGATTAAGCAGGATTTCTCCTCCAATGAAACCAAATATGGGAGAGGATTTGAGGGAAGAGTGTCTTTACCACCTGATGGCTTCAGACAAGGAGACTTGTCACTGACTGTGCAGCGGACTCAGGAAAATATTTCTTAATTTAATAAAAAAAAAATCCTGTCAGGGAAAACATTTTGCAGGTGAGGAGGCTGCACAGTGGAGAAAAGACAAAGTGTGTGTTTGAAATCAAATATGGGAGCAACCTCCTCAAAACCACCTGCAATGCCACGAGACCCGACATTTAGGTGAAAGCATGATTAAACTAATTACTGCCAAGCAACTGCCCCCCCCACCACACACACACAGCAGGTCTGGCCGCAGTGATAGAGCTGGGCTGCAGCCACACCTACACCCCGAAGAAAACGGTACTGTCTTCCAGTAAGTAAATCACTTTGTGGTTTCAGTGAACTGATGTGTGAACTTCACCGGATCTCAGACCACGTGCACTTTGTCACCCAGTCTCACCCTTCCCTCTCTACATCCCACACGCTGTGAGTGGTGGGGGATAAGATGTTTGTGGGCAACATGTACTGCCTTTTATCTTGGCTCTCCTCTATTGTGACTCCCCAACAAACACAATAAATATTGAATTACACAATAAACACAAGTAAAAGCATCCTCTTCTTCTCTGGTTTCCTCTTTCGTCTAAGCAGTGCCACGGGCTGTAAACACAGAGAGAGCGACTTGTGGCTTTATTTGCCATGAGATGTCCCAAGACTTCAGTGGTAACACATTTAGTTGTTTAAGATAATGTGGTTTAACAGATAAAAATGCTGTGTCATTAGTCTGATTAGTCAGTCTGTTTGCTATAATAAATGAAGTCTGAGTTGTACATGTCTGCCAAGCAAACAGGTCTCAACAACTGTACATAGATACAAGTAGTCCAAGTCAAATTTCAATAAATACAGAGCCACTTGAACATGTGGTTAGGCAGCCTCAGCGAGAAAAGAGGAAGAACATGAAGACAAAGGAGAAAGGCTTGAGTGCGTTCCTCACCCCGAAGAAAACGGTACTGTCTCCCAGGAAGTAAATCACTTTGTGGTTTCAGTGAACAGATGTGTGAACTTCTCTCTCACTTATTTTTATCCTAAACCCTGCCTTCAGAGAAATATAGGCCAATGTTAATTTACAATTTCAGACAAACTACCCCTGGAGGGATAAGAAACATGACAGTCTACTTATGTCTCAGTATTACTGTAAAATGCTAGTTATATAGTGATTTACAAGTCTTTGCCTGCTCACTGGGAGCAACTGGGGTTCAGTGTTTTGCCCAAGGACTCTTCAACATGTGGACGGACACATGGAGTTTGAAAAGCCGACCCTGCCATTAGTGGACTACCCACTCTACCACCTGAACCACAGCCACCTGTATTTTAGCCCTTAACTAATAAATATTTGAATTCAGAGATGTAGAGATTCAAAACCAGACAAAAAGAACTAAACCCAATGACTAGATAGATAAACAGAACCATGTAAAATGGTGAAATCTGACTCTGATCTGGGGGTAAAGTATGTCCTTCCTAATGCCTTTTTGAATAATTTTAGTTTTTGCCCTCTTGTGGATCATAAAAGGTGCCATCAAAATAATTTTCAACATCCCATCTCTGTCTGTTGACTAATGTCTTACTTACACACAGACACCGATCCCAATCTGACCCCATAAAGAAGCACACACAACTTTCCGTGCTCAGGAGGCCGACACATGAAGTCAGGATCAGTCTGGCTGCACTGTGGCACCTACAGTAAAGTAGCAACTATTTTGATCATCGCTACACAATGAGACAGCATTTCTCACTATTTTCACAGTGTTTACAAACCAGTCAGCTAATGGAGGAAAAGTAATCAGCAGAAACTAAAATAATCAGTAGCTGCACTTAGATACAAAAGATTTCAGCAGAGCTCCATCTCAAGCAACCACAGCAGTCAAATCCTATATGTTACAGTTACATGGTTTACCTTATGTTCATAAATTTATTATAATCCTGTTAATTCTTTCATTCTTCTTTAAGCTGGCTCTACAAAGACACTTCCCAATGAAGCTCAACTAACCACAGCATAGTCATTGGCAATTAAAGAAAGTGTTTGTTCATTTTGTCCAAACAAAGACTCTGGTTTCATTCCTGTGTTGCCTGATCCCTTGGCAGTTTGTTTGACTAAGTGCTGCCCCCC